CTCTTTACATGGAAGGTCGGGGCTCCTTGAGACATCAGGGGAGCCCTGTTTGAGAAGGTACGGGACTTCTGGAGAACCACTGTTGTCACTTGGGTGATAATATGAACTTGCGCCAGCATCTCAAAGAACTTCTACTAATATTCCTTTACCTACGAAGAAGAGAAAATAGTTGGTCTCAAATGTTCATCTTTTAAAAATAGGAATTTGAGCAGATGTAGGAACAGTTGCTGGCTCTGCTGTCTGTGCCCTGCCCCTGCCCTTCCAGTGGGAAAAGAAACCTAAACAGATAAAATACCTTCATTTATTTGCAGCTGGAACAGAATGGAGGGGAATAGAATGATTCCGTGTGGCTTTTCCCTTTCTAGGTCTTCTGTCATTCTTTTATCTCGTGAAGGTAGGGTTAAACAAGTAGATTCATACCAGTATTGCCTCTATCAGAAATAGAAAGGAAAGTATTCCACCACACACCAAAAGCTCTTTCTTTGCTGCCTTATGTACCTTCACACACACCCATAGAAAATAGGACCCCTTAATTCAAATGTATGAACACCTCTCAGAGAAATAAGGCAGGAGAGCCAGCTGTCAGTCTCATGGGGTTAACAGCCAGACTAGAAAATTAGAGTTAAATGTGCTCTAGTTTTCAAGGCTGTGGGAGTGAGATCACATACCAAGAGACAAGAGGCTGGGAAAGTCAGCTCAGCCTCCTGAGATTATGTGCTCAGCAGAAATGCCAACCAGAGCCAGACAAAACAGGGTCCTCCCTATTCTGAACATAATACCAGAGACATCCAGATGATAAGGGCAAATTCCCAGACAATGAAAGGCAAATGCATACATAGCCTCCAAAGTGACCTACAGTTACCTTTACCTTATTAGCATAGTGACATGGAACACCCCTAGATGGAGACTTCAGATGGTAATGAGATGGAGAACACAATATAAAAGAGAACAAGGGCAATTAAAGCCGCACCTCCATGAGTTCCTGCCTGCCGCTGACATGCCATAGAGCTATTCGCCCATGTTCTTTGCTTGAACCAACCTGACATGCTTTCTGTCTGTGCTGGTCATCTCTTTTGGCTCTAGCAGAAACCCCTGATAAACTCTTGCTCGTGCCTAAATTCTTTCTGGATCCCTTGTTTATTTTTTACAACTCTGAATTCAAGAACCCAAGTTCAGTCACAGACTACATCACTACAATTAGGAGCCCATTCCCAGAGTCCTCTCCCTGAAAAATACACACATAAGCAGAAAATATTGCACACAGTTTCATAGACTTCTGACCCATGTCTGCTCCAGAGGTGAGTAGAAATGGATTTTTCAAAAGTAACACTTATTAGAGCAACTGAGACCAAATAAAGCCAACAATTTGGTTTGAGATTTTAGATCTTTCTGTTGTTTTTGTTGTCACAATTTGAAATCCCAGAGCTAGTGACTATTCCCAACCAGGAGCTCAATGGCCTCCTCCAGCATCCCAGAGGGAGGAGTCATCCAGAAGAGGTGCACTGTCATTCAGAAGGGAGCCTCTTTTCTTGTGGAATAGTTCATGACAATAAATTTTGTGCATAAGCAGATGGCTTACTTACTAGTTGCTTCACCTTCCACAGAGACTTACCATTTATTATGCATTCAGTGATTGTCACATAGAGACATATGTTTGTGGTATCAGTGATAATGGGAGTGAACCCGCACATAGAGTTGTCCCTCAGTGTCTAAGGCAGACGGGTTCCAGGTCAGTCATGAACATCAAAACCCACATATGCTCAAGTCCTTTATATAAAATGGTGTAGTATTTGCTTAGAACCTATGCATATCCTTGTGAATACTTTAAACATCTCTAGATTACTTGTGATACCTAATGCGATGTAAATGCTAGGTAAGTAGCTGTTATACTGTATTGTTTAGGAGCTATTGACAAGAAGAAAAAAGGCTGTTTGCATTCAGAACAGATGCAGCATCATCAATTTAACCACCTAGTACACAAGCAAGACTGGAGGCCAGCAATGCAAGGCTCCAGCGATTGCTGGAGAGAGATTGAGAAGGTGTGGGGAGCTCTAGCAGGTGTGCCTCCACATCACTTCATTTGCATGGATCCAGCATGGTACTTGATGTTCCACAAATTCAAGTTTTGCTTTTTGGAAATTTCTGGAATTTTTTGGTACTAAAGATTGAACCCAGGGGTACCTAATCACTGATCCACATCCCCAGCACTTTTTATTTTTAATTTTGAGACAGACTCTCACTAAGTTACCTAGGGCCTTGCTAAGTTGCTAAGGCTGGCTTTTAACTTGCAATCCTCCTCCCTCAGCCCTCAAGTTGCTGGGATTACAGGTGTGAGCCACCATACCAGGCTTGGGATTTTTTAAAAGCATTTTTGATCATTGATTGGTTGAGTCCGTGGATTCTAAACCCATGACACGAAGGGCCACCTGTAAGGCTAAAGTTGGTCCTGTTGAATGTTTACTGGGAATCTGTGTGAGATACTGTGTCAATCCTAAGGGGCTGCCCAGGGGATGTACCATGGAGACTTCCAGCTGCTCCCTGTTTAGAAAAAGGCACTCAGAAAACTGTGGCCAGGGGCACATTAGTGGTAAAAAGTGTTGAAAGCGTGAGAGTGTGTTCACACCTCGTTTACAGCAGGGCTGTGAAGAAAGGCTTCCTGCGAGGTCTACTCCTGTCCTGCCAAACGTACTTTCTACTAAGCTTCTGTTTAGCTTATGTTCTTTAATAAATGAAAGTATGTAAATCTAGGAGAAATTTAGAGTAGTGTCCCATGGGGAAAGTGAAAGGACAGGCTTTTCTTTATTTCAAAATTGTTTTGAGCAACAAAGAATTGTTTGTTGCTGATTACATTTGCAAAAAAAAGAGTACTTTTCGACATTATAATTGTACTAAAATTGCCTTTACTAAGCACTGTTGTTTTTACACAAAGAAACTGTATGAAAGGTGACAGTAAATAATTAGGATAAATTCCTTGAGTGTACCCTGCTCATAACAATAAGAGCCACCCCAAAGGAGATGCTGTCTCTGCAAAATAGATTTCTGGGGTTCAAGAAAGAACTCCACCCTCAGTGGTCCCTCTACTTCAAGCCTGAAGGTACACAAAGTAATTGGATATCTGGGAAGATAAACTCAGGACCCTCCATATGTTAGTATCCTACAGCCACAGTCCTCCAGGGAGGCTGAACAATTTATCACCCATCCCACTGTGTGTACAAATATGGAAAGAATCTGACCTGAGATGCAAAATTGAGAGTATTGAATGTATTTTTAGGACCTATGGGTATTTTTTTTTCATTTTTAAATTTTGATTTGTTATATATGCAGCAGAATGCATTATAATTCATAATACTCATCTAGAGCACATTTTTTCTGTCTCTGGTTGTATACAAAGTAGAGTCACACCATTCATGTCTTCATACATGTACTTAAGGTAATGATGTCCATCTCATTCTACCATCTTTCCTACCACTATGCTCCCTCCCTTCCCCTCCCGCCCTCCCCTTTCCCCCTTTGCCTGATCTAGAGTTCATCTAATCCTCCCATGCTCCCCTCTCCATTATGAATCAGCTGTCTTAAATCAGAGAAAACATTCGGCATTTGGTTTTTGGGATTGGCTAACTTCACTTAGCATTATATTCTCCAATTCCATTCATTTGCCTGCAAATGCCATGATTTTATTCTCTTTTCATACTGAATAATATTCCATTGTGTATATACACCACATTTTTTAATCCATTCATCTACTGAAGGGCATCTAAGTTGGTTCCACAGTTTAGCTATTGTGAACTGTACTGCTATAAACATTGATGTGGCTGTGTCCCTGTAATATGCTGTTTTTAAGTCCTTTGGGTATAGATCGAGGAGTGGGATAGCTGGATCAAATGGTGGTTCCATTCCCAATTTTCCAAGGATTCTCCATACTGCTTTCCATGTTGGCTGCACCAATTTGCAAGCTCACCAGCAGAGTATGAGTGTGCCTTTTTCCCCACATCCTCACCAACACTTATTGTTGTTTGTCTTCATAACAGCTGCCATTCTGATTGGAGTGAGATGAAATCTTAGAGAGGTTTTGATTAGCATTTCTCTAATTGCTAGAGATGTTTTCATATATTTATTGATTTATTGTATATCTTCTTCTGAGAAGTGTCTGTTTAGTCTCTTGGCCCATTTATTGGTTGGTTATTTGGGTTTTTTGATGTTAAGATTTTTGAGTTCTTTATATATCACTGATGGATTCTTTTGCTGAGAAGAAGCTTTTTAGTTTGAATCCATCCCATTTATTGATTCTTGATATTAATTCTTGCACTATAGGAGTCTTATTAAGGAAGTTAGGACCTAATCCAACATGACAGAGATTTGGGTCTACTTTTTCTTCTCTGGCTTAATTCCTAAGGACCTGTAGGTATTTAGAGGTCATCTCTCAGATCATCTCAGGGTATTTTACATTTCTGAGGCCTGATACCAGCCTTCTCGCTATGCTGTCCCCCATGGCGTACCCTGGGGCTGCAGGAGCCTGTCCACCTGTATATGGGTGTGGCAGGCTCTGAGGGGTAAAACTCAGTCATCTTGCCTGCAGCAAGTCTGGGCTGTGCTTTCCAATCTCTTACCAGTTCCCCTGGGCACATTTTATAAATCACTTGCACCCAAATTCACATTTCAGGGTCTGCTTCTGGGAAATCTAGAGTCAAATCATTTTATAAGGTTTGGTATGATTTCAAACAACAGGCCCCCTGCGTGTCCCCCTGGACTTCCTCCAATTTCTTCTTCTCCAGAAGGAACAATTGATTTTATAACCATCTTAGCCCCTCTTAGTATGTCCCTTTATCTCTTTAAATAGCATTCCTATAGTGCTGCTTCCTGGTTTTCCAGTTTTAGGCATTTCCTATTAATTTTCCTCTATCGAATATAAAGATTAAACCCCCACCCCAGCTCCCTTCTCTCCCTTCATTTTCCTGATATGATTAATATGATTAGTGTTGTTATTAAATAACAACACTAGGTTGCTCTTATATATAATTTATTATGTACACACATTATTCTAAGCATTTTTCACATATTAATTTACTTAATATTCTCCCAGATCCTATGCAATAAGTTTTGTTATGACTCCCATTTTACAGATAAGGAAATTGAGTTACAGGGTGGTTAAGCACATAGCTTAGTCTCAGGAAGTAGTGGATACACAGAATGGAACATGTACAGGCTAACTTTAGGATGTCTGCTCTTGAATTATGCTTCTGAGATTATGCCCCAATTTCAGTTAGATCAGTTTTCAGTATCTTTACTGATTTGATGACATTAAAACTCATGGGATAAACTGTGACTTCTTTCCTTCTTGCCAAACATTGTGGTTCCTGATTTTTTTTTTCTATTGACATTGTTCTTCCTTGAGAGCTCTGGAAACTTCTAAAGTCTTCTTCTTTTAGTCTGAAATTTTACAATGATACATAATGTCATGTCTTGTTGGCAAATTTTCTTCCATTGTGCTGGGCACAAAGTGGGTTCTCACCATCTGGAAACCCATGGCCTTGTACAACTAGGAGATTTTCTTGTCTATTTCTTGGATGGTGCCCGCTAATCCTCTCATGTTCTCATCTTTCCATTTCCTATTTTTCTTTTTTGTTCTATTTTTTGAAAGATATCCCCAAATTTGTCTTTTACCTTTTCTACTGAGTTTTAAAAAATCTATAATATTTTTATGTTTTCAAATTTCTTCTATTGTTTTAAATTTAAATTTTTTAAATTGGTTCTCTGGGTACTACTTTTTGATAACATCCTGTTCTTGTCCCATGTATATGCTATCTTCTCTTATATATTGGGGGATATTAATAATAGTTGTTTTGAAATTTCTACCTCCAGCATAGTCTGTATCCTCTGCTTTCTCTTTCCATTTGTTTGTCCATGTTTTACAATAGAGTTTCTTTAACTATCTAGAGATCTTTGGCTGCTTTCTCACTTTTAACTTAAAACAAAAAGAAGTCCCGTACCTGTGGGATGTGACCAAGAATGGGGGCATGTCACTGGGAACTATAGTGTTTTTAGCACTTTCCTCTTAGGCTGATCACTTTCCCCTGGTTTGTGCGGATGGTGTGCTTCTGGAGGCCAGAATTCCAGAAGCTTAGTGAAGGAAGAGAGTGGGAGTTGCCTTGTTCATTAGATAAACCTTCCCTCAGTCCCTTGCTCTCAACTGTACCAGATTCTTATCAATTCAGATATGCTATGCTTTATTCTCTCAATTGAGTATAACTCCAAGCTTCTACTGAAAAGAGGGAAGGAGAAATTTCCCACAGCAGGAAGTATATGTGTGTGTATGGGGGGTGTTGTGAATGTATACCATAAGAACTAAATTTCCTGTGTTGCATGACATCTTGGAGCCTCAAAGGGCCCCTAAGACCTAACTGTGAGTTCCCCTGCTCTGGTCATAGACACCCCCAAGCAGGAACACCTCCCCAACTGTCTCGTTCTCTGTGCAGCCAGACAGCTGTACCCTACTTGGTCCTCAATAGCTTTCACCCCCTTGCCAGTCCACAACATTGTTCAAACAAACCAACAGACCCTCTTATGGGGGACCCAGTGGCACCCCACCCTCTTGTTATTTACAAAGCCTCCTCCCACAGCCCCTGCAGTGTCACTCTGCCCTGCCTGTTCCTCAGTGCCCTCCTCCCCCAGGCTGTGAGTATATGTGGCTAATAAACAGCTGACACCTCAGGCACGCAGTGTTGAGTGCCATGTGTTCAGCCACCCCTGTTGAAGGCAGGCACCCCACCCTCTCCAGGGAGAAAACAGGGGGCAATCAGTGCTGTTTTTTTGAGAGTGCACCTGTGCGTGTGTAGAGCCCCCTGGGTTCTCACTGCTTCATAAACAGACTTTTCATCAGTGTCTCTATTTCCTCTTCTGGAGGAAAGACATGATCATTGTTGGAGTCAGATTCCCAGGAATTACGTTCTAACTTCATGCTGCTTCCTGGCTGTGTGGACTTGAGCAAATTATTCAACTTCTCCATGCCTCAGTTTCCCCATCTGAAAAAATAGGGACGATGACAGTGTAAGGTTATTGTGATGAGCAAATGGCACCACATGCCAGGACTCACTGTGGGCATCTTATTAAAGTTGGTGGATTGAACATAAGCATTCACTTCTGCTTTTTTCTGAAGTTCCAGTTAAATGACAGTAAGGACCTTTAAAAAAAAAATTTTGTCATCCCAGAAAGATAAAAGAATAAGAGACATATTTGTTGCAACAGAATTGTGGATGCAGGAAAAATTCTATAATTGATTCAGCAGGAAAATTAATTAATTGATTCACGAGGAAAATTAATTAAGATAATACACGTTAAATACTCAGAAGAGATGGTAGAAAAAGAAAACACTTTGGAGAGAATGAGATAAATCCACAGACTTGCTGAAAAAAATATTATTCAGCCATAAAAAAAGAATGAAATCCAGCAACATGGTTGGAACTGGAGGACATCATGTTAAGTGAAATAAGCCAGGAACAGATGCTGTGTGATTTCATTCGTTTGTAGAAGCAAAAAAGTTGATCTCACAGGAGAGAGTAGAATAGTGGTCACTAGAGGCTGAGAAGGACCAGGGGCAGTGGGCATTGAGAGAGTTTGGATAATGAATACCAACACCGCTACACAGAAGGAATAAGTTCTAGTGTTCTACAGAACAGGAAGGTAACTGTAGTCTACAATTAATTATGCACTTCAAAATAAAATAGAGAAGACTCAGAAAGTTCCTAACACAAAGAAATGATAATGTTTAAGGAGACAAAAATGTTAATTATCCCATTTGATCATTACATGTTGCATACATGTATCCAATTGTCATACAGTACCCCACAGGTATGTACAAATGCAATGGGTCAATTTAAAAAAAGAGAGAGAGAGAGCACTGATAGCAGGTGGTACTGCTCAGGAATGGTAGGCATCCCTAGGAAGGGGTGTGAATAAGGCTTATTCGTAAGCAAAATCCAGTTTTGAATGCTATGACTTTGCTGGGGACTGGAAAATGGATTATAAATCGCCAAAGATAATAAATTAAAATGATGTAAAACTTGACCATCATTCCATGCAGAGAAATGCTTGAAATTTCCCCTGCATGGAACCTAAATGAAGGCTATCACCCCTAAATGGAGGCTGATACAGCCTGGGATGGACCCTGGTTCAGCCTGTGGTTTTCTGACACCTGTGGCCGTGGCATCCTCTACGACCCTGTAATGAAGCACACCCCAAATTTCCAAGTACACTTGTATGTTTAACTCTAAGTACTAGAAAGACAAAGGTCAGGTCCCTGCCAAAGCTGTAGGGTCCAGACCCTGCTTTAACCTTGGGTGAAGGGAAGCCAAGGGTGCTGGGTGCTGGGGAGGTGGAGGGGTGAGAGGGTTTTGCTCAGCAAGGGAGGGAGGCTGGAGTCACTAGTTCAAGCCCACTGTCCAGTTTTGATACTACCATCACCTAGGGGTTTGTGGCTGTTTCCCAAAAATAAGTTTGCCTTAGAGCCCATGTTGCTTCTCAGAAGAAACCATACAGAGCCATCTTGTGGTAGGAAAAAGATGTGCAGGTACCAACCTGAATCCTTGACTGGATTTTATATGACATTAGTGGGTGTAAATAGATCTGCATGCTATTATACCCTTAATTCCTCCCATATGGTTGGGCAGCATTTTAAAGTGGTCAGCAAATGTTGACAGCAATCTATACTTGTCCCACTAACACATTTACCACAGGTAATTAACTTAACTACCTGATAAAAATGTAATTGGCATGTTGTAATGCTAGCTATTGTCTGAAAAGACTTTGACTGACAGTTACTTATGTTGGCTTCTTGGTTATCTTTATAACCAAGAATCAAATCCAAATTTGGTCATTAGTTTGTGATTTGATTAAAGTAAACAGCCAAATTGGGTAATCAGGATCTGGAAAGATTTATTATTTGCTTCAAAGATGAGGTTTGGGTTTTTACGTTGTTAGAACATAATAAGAAATTAGTCTGAGTGGTCTCCGGTGCTGCCAGAAGCTGTGTAGCCACACCCTCCACATCAAGGATAAATTAATTCGTCAGAGATGATTCCACGAGTCCACGCACCACCCAGTCTGTATGCTGCAGGGATTCGTGCTGCCTCTCCTGGAAGCATCCATCATTTCATGGAAGCCTTCTATCACGCTGCAAACAGGAATGACACACTCTGAGTTCCACGAGACCATGGAGAGTGTGCCTGGCCGAGTCTAGGGACATACTTTCAGGATGTGGGTGGCAAAGCAGCCTCAGTATAAATTGTTGCTTTTCTGAGCACTAGTGTCACCTGCAGTTTCAGGCTGATTAATCAACAGGATGAGTGAAAAGCTTCATCCTGTTATTCCAGCTAGAACTGGGGACACGTGTGTGTGTGTGTGTGTGTGTGTGTGTGTCTTTTCTACATATAAACCTCAGCACTCGATGAAGCAAACAGCCTCCTGCATAAGCTTGGCAGACGCTTCCATCTTGAATACTCATTACAAGAGACATTAAAAATGTGACAGCTTATATTGTCACACTGCCTAGAGGGTGGTAAGAATGCTTCCACTGATTTGGGTCTCTTCTCAGCAGCCTGTCCTGTGTTGGGAGAAGAAGATCTGGGCTGGGTTGTTAATGAAGGCCAAGTCTCAAACCACAAACAATGGAACTGCAGAGGCCTCAAACCCATGGCTTTGGACATACACTTGAAGTTGGGTAAAACAGGATTCAGTCCAATTCTTTAAACTAGTCTTTCCCATGTTCTGGAGGCAGACTAAAATATATTTCCTGCTTCTTCTCAACTGTCCAGCACCCCAAAGGCCCACAGCAACCTGACCTTTGTTCAGCAGATATGAAGGCACCTGTCCAGCCTCAACCCTGAGCCCATGAAGGCCTCTAGGATGCTGCCTTCCTGTAGCATGCTGATGTGACAGTGTGTTAGCTCCTGGCTCTGCTGGTCTTATCCTGGTTCCACATGTGCCACACACCTGTGTCTCCCCAGTGAGACAGTAAGTGCCACAGAGGTGGCAGGTAACAAGCACAGGGCAGATTGTGGGACCCATTGGTTTGCTCAGTAATGCTCACTGTGGGTCTGCCCTATGCCAGAAGACTGATGATAGACAAATAAACACATCTTATTCTAGATATGGAATCTGTCCATGGTTCCAGGTCACCTAGAGATCTGGGGGTCAGAGATAAAAATAAAATTCTAGAGTCTTCAACCATGTAAGTCAATCTGATTTCCAGCTTTCCAAACTTCTACATTACATGGCTGTGAATGTGTATGTGCCTTAGATGGTACTTTGCTTATGGGCCAGATTCTGGGAAGTCTGTGTGGCTCCTCACATTTAGTAATCCAGTGGTTCTCTCAAAATATGCAGCATTTTCCCCAGTGGGGGCACTCAATTACAGTGGGCCTTGGGATTAGCTCTTTGCATACCCGCCTTGCGACACTTACCTCAGACACAAGAGGAAGTCAAGGAGCATTTGCACTGCCAATTTCAAATTGCCCTAAGAAAATACCCCCTTTATACAGCAAACAGGATCACCCAGTTCTCTTATGCAGCGTGAGAGAAAGAACTTTACCCATCATTAATGTTTTACTACCTTTCTCAAAAAACGTAACCTTTAACCCCTAAGTCAACTCTAAACCAAGGCTAAGGAGGGGCAGCTCCTGAGTCAGTTCCGGGTGCTGGCGCTATCCCTGTGCCAATGCTGTTTCTATCTGGAGAAACAAATAAACAGAAAGATAAGCTCTTTAAAGCACACGATGAAGCAGACCCAGAATTTCCAAAGCAGAGATAGCCAGCCACTTGGCCCTCATTTGGAATGATGTATGGCTGTCTGCCCAAGCGCCACCCTGCCTGAGACAGAGCTGAGCCTCTGCAGTAGCTAGTGGCAAGGCTTGGGGAGTGGGGGAGCAGCAGGCAGACCCGCAGAAAGCTAACTGCAGAAATTCTGTGATTGACTTGGTCCCAGCAGAAACTGAGTGACATCCTGGAGGATTTGATGCTTGCGCAAACAGGCCAGATTTATTGCCAGAAACTAAACACAAGGACTGCATTGACTCCAAAGTCTAAATTAAATGTGGGATGGTTAGAAATGGTCTTAACGAAGCCAGAGGGCCAGGAAGACTGTGGGAGTCGTCAGCCATGCAACATAATTCCTAGAGCTTGTGCTGCCTCCCCCGACACCCAGCCAGCCTCCAGCTAGTCAGGGAACTAATGCAAAGGCTCAAGTCCTTTCCTGAGTGTCTCATGTGTAAATGACAGGAAGGTCTAGCACTTTTTATAGATGACTAATGCCTAATTATTTGTGATGCAAGAAGGGAGTCATCAGAAGTTGATATAATTTATTCATGCGCTAAATTAGCACAAGCCCAGAACTTACTGAGGGTTGGACTCTGGTTCCTCCCCAGAGGCCTGGCTGCCACTGTGGCCCAAACATGTAACATGGTTGGAATTCCATGATTTGGAGGAGGAATGCTGTGTTATCAGTGCTGTCTCGAGTGGGTTGTGCTTTACAATCACTGCTTTTCTTGTTTTTAAGTTTAACTCACTGTTGGTTTCACATCTTCAGTGTCAACAGAGTCTGCTGCAGGTGGATGGTAGCATATTTTGGCATCTGTCTATACTGTTCCAGTAACTGTGCCTTAACACATAAAGGCGCGGGGTTTGTGAAGGAACCATCCATGCCACATTGCTAAATAAAAAATGGACATAATTCTGCCAGTTTCCATTCCTCTATGCCCTATGGAAACTGACCAAAAATACCATCGAAAAATTTTGAGAGCCACTGTCCTCAAGGTCCGGAGATTCATTGCACTGGTGTATATAGTACTGTGGGAGAAGATATTTAGCAACTAGCTCTCAGGGTTAAAAGCACATGCGCGCGCGCGTTTGTGTATATTTCAAATTATATTAATATAGAAAATATGGAATTATACTGATATAGAAGATATAGGACACACAATTTACAAATAAATATACAACATTCTGAATCATAAATCCCACATAGCCAATTTATCTAACAGAACACTTTCAGCTGGTTTTTGTTGAATTCTTATCTCCATAGCCAAACTATATTGCAATTAATGAATGTATATAGTTCCAGCAGAAACATTAGCAGACATCTTTGTTTAAGAGTCAAACAGAAGTGAAGCAATAAAGAAAAAAGTGTTAGCCATTTGTCAATAAAGTGATTTCCTTCTTTGAGGAAATCAGATAATGATTTCAAAAGCTGCAAGAATATATTTCCGGGTTTTAAGCCATTAACTATTTTTTGACAACTATACATATGACACACTTTTAAGTTTAATCTGCATTATGAACATTTTCTCTATCACTTTCGTAAGTCTAAACAATCAATGAAAATTTCAGCCAAATTCTGATTGGTGGTGTTTGCTCATTTCTCTGTTTCAAACACAATAATTTTCCTCATGGCCAATTTTAATCTACTAACATAGTGAAGGTGCAGTTGGTAAGAGATGTACAATAATACACTGTTGAATAGTATTGCTACTACATAGCTACAATAGTCTAAATAACCACAAGAACATAGATCATAGTAAAATGTGGTTAAAAAAAATAGGTGATTCATTTTCAGAATTATTATCTTTGGTTTTTATGTAACTTATTTAATCTTCACTTTATAAAATTTAATTATTAATAATGGCTATGTTTAATAACTGACTCAGAAGATTCCTGAAGATTTTTGCCAGGCTATATCAACAGGCCCTGGCACACCATTGAATGTGGCTGTTCATGTCAGCTCCCACCCTTTGTCACAGTCACCACCCTGTTCCCCTCTCTGGGACACAGTTTTGTATGGTCTGTCTGTAGCCGAAGTGGGCCAGGCCAGGTCTGCATTTCTGCCAGTGCAGGAAGCTCAGCCCCACCATAAAGAGGAAGTGCTAGAAGCAGTTTGAGAATTAGGAAGAGAGTGCCAGCCAGTGACTAAAGCCTAGTGCCGCCATAAAAAATCTGCCCCAGGTTACATCCTGAGAAACAAGTTGGCTTTAAAAGTGCTTCATTTTCTCTCCTGAAAAAACTTAAACTTTAATTATAGGGACATCATAAAACTCAAATTCCAAAACCAAAGGACATTTCCAAGGGCATGGACATATGAGTTTATACATTTTGTAACACTCTATTCAAGGACTGAAAAATTCTTTGTTTTCCCCCCTGTGTGGGTAATTGCGTTAGTTCCTTTATTGTTCAACTGTGGTTTCAGATTCTTATTGACTCCAGGGTTTCATGTCTTCCAAAAAGGATCCATTTGTTTAAAAATAAGACGAAAACATTTCCTCCATTTTTCTAGGAACTGGGGTCCTGGAGTTGAGGGGACACTGTCCCCTCGTCCTTCTTCCATAGGGAACTGTTCCAGACCTGGCCTCCCAGCTTCTATCTCCTACCACATGCTATTCCATCAAGGAAACATCACAGACTGAAACTCTTCTCAGGGGAACTCTCATCTTCGGTATCCTTGGGAGAAAAAGTTATTTTAAAAAATTATTAACTTGGGGTTGGGATTGTGGCTCAGTGGTAGAGCGTTCGCCTTGAATGTGCAAGGCCCTGGATTTGATCCTCGGCATCACATAAAAAGGAATAAAATGAGGGTACTGTGTTCAACTACAACTAAAAAAAAATATTTAAAAAATTATTAATTTGGAAGCCATCCTGAGGTTTTGAACAAAAGTTTAAAATCTGTTCCTTGTATGAGAACTACAGGAAAATACATTTAAATGTGCACCTTTTACGCATGGTAGATATTGAATAATAGATTGAACAACAACAACAACCACAAACAAATGGCCAATTCTTCTTGACCTGAGAAACTGGAAGAAAGTAAGCAGACTTACTATTCCTTTCTGTAAGTCAAGGGAAAGGGGACCTGGAGATTCAATGATCTGGTCTGCAAGAGAGACCTGAAGAATTAAGACTGGAGACACATCAGAAACAGAACTGTCACCGACAGCTTGAATCTTTCCAATACCAATAATATTTATATGCATGCAAAGAAACTTTTTTTTTTTCATGAGCAGACACTGTATTGAAATAACCCTTTAAGGAAAAGATCTTTAGACAGGAAATGCCTTTTGGTGTTTGAAGGAGGAAGCACTTGTTGCTGAGCTTAGTGGATGAGTTTTAAATGTGTCCTCCTCTCTAGGAAACCCAGTTCTCAACTTGGCTGGTGCTGGGAATGACTGGGATGCAGACAGTGATGGCACCTGGTTTTGTGATTTGCCCACGTCTCCCAGCAGCCCAGGGAATCATCCTGTCTGGGGTCTGCCTGCTCCAGGCCTTCATCTCCATGTGTGTTTTATGGGTGTCTGCTCTACAGAGCAGTCCCTTTTCTCCTGTCTCTGAGGAGGATATAAGCCGGGTAAGACAAGGTGTGGGAACATGATTTATCTGGCTTGTGCTACTATTTCAGTTCCTGCTCCAAGTTCTCCCAGCCCCAGCCCACGCGGAGAGAATTCTATGATCAGCCAAGAATATAAACCTGGTTGTTTGAACCAAAGTCTCTTCTACAGGCTCATGCAGGTGTCTAGTGTTGGACCACTGTCAGTAGGTTTGTCTTAGACACTAGAAGTTCAAATTCCCATCTGAAGTCAGCAGATGAGAAGAATATGAGGGGACCCCCCATCCCTGGACCCCCTTTCTGGAACGTTCCTAAGTAAAATGATAGCTCCATCAGCAGAATTTAGGGAAACTAGTTATAAATCTAGAATATCATTCATTCTATAACAAAAGGTATTGACCAGATAATGGTTAACCCAAAGGAGAAAACAATTCTCTGAATGTCTGCCCCAAATACTTACAAACAATGAAAGTAGTCGAAATAAAAATATTTACTTAAATTGTATCCAATATATTTTAGCCAGATTTCATCTCTGATTATAGAATTACATAGTATAGCAACAATAACCTAAATTAATGAAAGTTCAGGAAAAAGTTGAATAGAAACTAGGAATTTCCGTAACTTGCCTATTCAAAATTTTGGAGATGAAGATGAAATATCACTTACAGGATCTAAAATAGGAAGCACTTCTGAGGGTATTAGTGATGGGTTTAGTCAAATAGGATTTGATTTCTGCTTACAGGATCCTCATTATTTTCTTTCTTTTTTTCCCCATATATTTTATTGGTGCATTATAGTTGTACATAATCATGGGATTTGTTGCTATGTATTTGTACATGCACACAATATAACAACATAATCTTGGGTCCATATCATTCCCCAGTATTTCCTCTTTCCCTCCCCCATCTCCCTCCCCCTGGTCCCTTTCTTCTACTCTATTGATCTTCCTTCAATTTTCATACAATCCCCCCTACCTTTCTTTTTCTTTTTCCTCTCTAGCTTCCACATATGAAAGACAAGTGCTACCCTTGACCTTCTCAGTTTTGCTTGTTTCATTTATCATAATAGTCTCAAGTTCCATCCATTTTCCTACAAAGACATAATTTCACCTTTTCTCTGTGGCTGAATAAAACTCATGGTGTATATATACCACATTTTCTTTTTTAAATATTTTTTTAGTTGTAGATGGACACAATACATTTATTTATTTATCTTTATGTGGTGCTGAGGATCAAACCCAGGGACTCACACATGCTAGGTGAGTACTCTACCACTGAGCCATAACCCCAGCCC